GACTACTGCCACGCTGGAACATTCAGCACTGCCACGCTGGAATGCTCACTTCTGCTAACATTCACCACTGCCACGTTGGAACATTCACTACCGCCACACTGAAGTCTGACCACTGCTACACCGGGGTACTCACTACTACTGACTGCACGCAGGACTGCTCACTGAAGTGCTCAAATAAAGTCAGCAGTCGCAAGTTTTGTGTTCTTCAGTGGCAATACAACCATCAAGTAAGCAAGGTTGTCAAAGGCAAAAGGACTCAAAACACAGACTTACTCCATCATTATGCGCTTTTTGCTCTGCACCCCGAGGTGCTTCCCCGTATTTGGCAATGATCAAAGATCCAATAAATGTAAACTGACTAGCTTCACAACCTTGAAAACTCCGAGCCCAAAAAGTCATAACCCAATTCACCGCCCACATGAACGCAAAGAACCGCAAGGGATGCGTCCGCGTCCCAAGGCTCCGAACGGCCCAGCAACTGCGCGATCTCCGCCTTGCTGCGGCCCTCCTTACGGAAGTGGATCGCCCGCAGCCGGTCCTAGGTGATTGGCGGGTGGGGTGATGCGTGCTGTGGGTGGATGTATCTGTTTTACTCCTGGAGTTCCCTGGAACCATCGGTCGGAATTCGAAATACCACCGGCAGCCACAGGAAGCAACTGCTTGTGTTGTAGTTACTTGCGAAGCGTGACCGTGACCACGCAAAATCAAATGAATACCGCCACGATCTGGTTATGCTCCAGTTCGGCCCCGCCTTAACTTAACGCCTCTCCCGGATCTCATCCCATCCGACTCGGGTGACCAACCTCCAGTGGGCTGCGCAGTGGTCTTCCACCAGCGGCACGTCCAAACATCAAGTCATTGCTCTAATTCTTCTTTTCACTGAGGAACTGGTCTGAGGATGGGCAGGCTACACTTGCTTTTGGTAACGGAACAGGTCCTGTCCGTGAAGGCCAGCACTTTGGAGACAAAAAACGCAGTCACCAACTATTTCTACACGCTAAGTCTCAAGTGCCAAGCCAAACATCCCAGAATTAATGTTTTATACTTTACCTTTTTTGTTAGTGTGACTTTTTTTGGTGCCGGTAAAGCTGGACATGCAGATTTCTTGGTGGGCAGCGTTCTGTGAACCTCCAAGTGCACTTTGGGAAGCACGGAGCGCTCATCTTAACATCGAGGTCTTATGTCAGATGGCAACAGCCTGGTAGCCCTTAGCATCCAACCTGGATTGGCTCACAGAAGATGTACTAATTATGTTGGAATGTTTGCTTTCCTTCTTTAAAGGTTACCTTGGCAGCTCGTTGTACACCTCGCTGATCCAAGCATTCAAGTCTTTTGTGAGATGGCCCAAGCCTGGTGGCCCCTCGCATCCGTCGTTATGGGGTTGCGGTGGTCTGATGTGTAACCGCCGGTGAAAGATTCCAAAAAGGATCTATGTTAAGTTGTTGTGCAATTGTTTTTCTCCGATGGTGGCAGGTGCAGCACTCTGCGAATTACAAAAACAAATATGGCGGGCGGCCGGCTTTGTTATTGTAAGCTGGAACAAAAGTTGTAGAAGGCACTGCTCTGAGTGATCTCAGTGACTTAGTGTAGATTTCGGGCAATCGCAGCACTGTAATCTGAACGCATATTTAGATATGATATAGTTGTGAAAATATTATTTTGACACCGAGCCGGAAATTGAACCGGGGGGCACTTCCAATAGAAACTAATCAAAAGCTCTCAATACAAGTGTGAGATCTTCTTGTTGGTACTCCGGGTTAGAGCCGAGGAGAGAAAGGAAACGGAACCCACTTCGCGGCGCTGTTCTTGTATTTGAAACCGCAATTTTGGGCAGCGGACCGTGTCCACCCTTCCTGTCTATCATGGTGATTGGGATAACTGAAGATGATGATGTCTTGAATCTTGACACTCGCAAATGAATCGTAAGGCAAGTTTTGTCATCCATCCATGAGCTTCTTTCTGCCCACATACACACACCTTTGCAAATAAAACCTCGGCCTGGTCCATTCTTCTTGTTGAACCTTACTTAGATCCCTGACTAAACTGTTGCCTTCTATTTGAACATTTGTTGTCTTGAGCTTCTTATACTATATCGAATCTTAATTTAAAAGAACCTCGGCATCCTGATCTTAGCATCTGCATCATATATGAGAGGGCAAAGCCCTCTAGGCCCTTAGCATCCACTGTTGTGGGGTTGTGCTTGTCTCGCGTCTTTATGCTTTCTATTGCTGCAGCACGTGGTGAAATAATATAGCTTACAAAAACTGTGTTGTCTTTTTTAACTATGAACATATTGACGGGCTCCACGTCCGGGGTAGAGTTAAAACAAAGAAGAACACAACTTCGACCGCACGGCGAATAAATATGAGACAGGTGCATCACCGGCGGTGCAAAGCACCAAAAGTATGTAAAGCATACATAAAGGCAAACAAACATTAATGACGCCTCCCTGACTCAAGGACTGAAAAGCAACTGATCAAAAGCGACAGCAACAACTATATGACGCTACAAAATAAAACAACAAAAAGGTGTGAAAAAAAACAGGAGCAACAGCAGGAGCAACGAACCAAGCAAGAAAGAAGGCACAAAAAGCAGCAAAAGCACGGTAAGAAAAAGGATTCACAAAGAAGCAATGAAAAGCAAGGCAAAGCAAAACAAGCACAGAAAGAAACAATAAAAACACACATATAACAAAACACCCCTTCTCAAACCAAGTGCGGTTCTTGACCTCAGTATTTCTTGACCCAAAAACGCCGCCTACGGAAAGGATGCCCTCATAGGATCGGACTCAAAGCCACATGAAGCAGCCGACGACCCCAACGGGCGCCTGGAAGACCTTGTGGCCCTCTGAGGAGTTGGACTCGAAATGTCCTACAGTTTCCCGTTGGTTGCACTGCCGGTCAGGGAAGTCGGAGAGAAAGGACGCTATTAGGTGCAGGCCATCGCAAGGAGGTTGGAGGCCATCGCTACTAGGAGGAAGAAGCTACTAGTAACAAAGGGACGTTCTTTCTTTGGTAGTCGTTGATATGCGTTGACGTTGGTCCACTGCAGCGGGTTTGCATGTTACAGTTGACCTAGCATCTCATGGCAAGTAAGTTTGCAGTACACATCCTTGATTTTTTTACAAACCAGGTGAGAGGACACCCAATGCTTTTGAAAATAGAAATGGCCCTTTCTGCTTGCAAACTCGAAGACGCTTGAAGAACCTGGGATGTGTAAGTGCACGCACGTCAGAATGTGATTGTAATTGCTAACTTGCCAACAACAAGCACGTCACATATGTGCCAAGGAGACTCGAGAAATGGGTGAATTGCCGACATCAACAGTATTGCCTCAGAGACCTAAGACTGAGGGTGCTGAATTACTGTGCTCTACATCTTGATGTGTAGCTGATTCTAATCTGATTGTACTCCAGGAAAGATCAGGAAAGCACAACAATCATGCACAAATGCAAATAGCGTAGGATGCAAATCTTTCCATGTTCTGGCATGTGAAGGTTGGCGGCCATCGCTATTACGAGGTTGGAGCCCATCGCTATATACTATTAGGTTGGAGGCCATCGCTACTAGGTTGGAGACTCACAGTCCTTCCAGCTGAAAATGGCTCTCGTCAAACTCGGTGATCTGCTCACCCTTGTTGGCAAATTCGATCCAGCGATAAACTTTGGTGGAGCTGGCCCTCAGCCGCGTCGGCAACGACAGTGTGATGACGACTGTTCACAACCACAGCATGGTTTCACCCACAAAAATGTGTGGAGTATGAATGATCATTACAGCTTTCTGTGTGTGGTCATTCTTCCACTCTAAGGCCATCAAAATTAAGCCATGGACCAACATGGACCAACATAAGTTTAAGCGATTGCCTCTCCAGTTGTGGCATTGCCATGCTTTGCCGAACCTCCTGGACTTGTGGCGATGCATCCCTTCACTCTGCCGCCAAACGGCTCGTTGGGCGCTGGCCGTGACGCATCGGACAGCTTTTGCAACGGCATGGCTCAAGCGGCCGAACCACAAGTGCCCCGCTTCCAATGTTAAGGACGGCGCAGCAAAGGCTGATGTGTGTCACACGTGTTGGATTTGGAAAAAGACTGAGTAGTCTGGTCGGTTCTCCTTCAACACAAACATTGTGCCTATGCCAGGCGGTTGGCCACCATTTGTTGACAGCTCCACATACATTCGAGGACCCAGTCGGACAGCAGGCTTTGGATGACAAAAACTATCAGCTGTTGACACCAAGGTCTTGGACGCATAACACATCTATAGGAAACCATCTGCCAAGAAAGTCAACCGACCACTAAAACGTTGGTGGCAAACCTTCTTGACTTCTTGACTTGTTGCATATGGCTTGCAATAAATCCAAGGAGCTGTCAATCCATTTGTAGCAGCCAAATTTCAAATGCGTGTTGCTGTGGCTCCAAACAATTCAACACTAAGCCAAACCTGCATATACAGTGTGTGTATATATACAGTATACTACTGTTGATATTTCAAGGAGGGCCTGGGCCGCTAGATTTTCTACGTAGTAGAAATTCTAGGTGAGGTGGTTTCAAATCACGTCTCTTGGAGTAAAAAATGCTACGTTCAAATCAGGAAAAAGGTCCCTAGAATTCAAGTGGAGAGCATTGACAGCTGCAGAATGCTGCAGAACAAACAGGGATGGACATCCCAGAAGTCATTTTCTAGTATTATGTTGGGCGATGGCAGCCATACATGGCCAACCATCAAATATTTTTTTTGTGAAAAAAAGTGAAAAAAAGCGAAAAAAATGCGAAAATAAAGCGAAAAAAAAAAGTGAAAAAAGAGCGACAAATATGTTTTTGGTGTACCCTCCTAGGAAAAAAGCAAAAAAGAAAAAGCGAAAAAAAAAAAATCAAAAATAAAGCGAAAAAATGCGAAAATAAAGCGAAAAAAAAAGTGAAAAAAAAGCGACAAATACGCACAGCTACTGTACATGTTTTTGCTTTTTTGTTTGCTTTGCCTTTTGCTTTTTTTTTGCTTTGTTTTTGCTTTATAAAACTCTTTTGGCTCCTTGTATCTATGGCTGGCGTGCCCGACATAATTCTAGTAGAACCCATTGTCTATTAAACTGCGGCTCAACGCTTCAAATGCAATGTCAGCAAAGGTGTCTTGGAGTAGAAAATGGTACGTTCAGGAAAAGAATCCCTAGAATTCAAGGTGGGCTGGCTCCTTCCAAAATTAGTCCCTAGAAAATGATCTGTCCAGGTTCAGCTTCAAAATTATCAACAAGCAAAAAAATCAATCTCATTTTCTAGGAGAACATTGGCGGCTGCAAAACAAACATGGATGTAACAAGATGATCCTTAGAAATGACCTCAAGAGCATGTATTTTTGTTTCTAGATTATGCAGGTTTCATGGGTTTATCATTTCCGAGTAAACTGTGATTGTTTTAGAAAATGAATCTGTGCGATCCCTTGGGGTTAGTCCTCCCACCCATGTTCTTAAAGAATGACCGGTTTCGACGTTGACCCGTTGACCCCTCCCAATTTTCAGAGCCGCACATTGTGGGGGATAGGGATAGTATATATACATATATAGAGCCAATTTTCAAGGAACCTGCAGCTCAATGCTTCAAAATGTCAGCACAAATGTCCTGTTCTTCTTTCCTCTCTTGTTTATCTAGAGACCTGTCCCCTCGTGTTTTGCTTGGTTTCCCCCAAATGTACCAGAACATGCAAAATCAAATGACCATGACTCATGACCTATCATCATCTCACTGACATTACTTGCTAGAAAATGCAAAACTAAAAGCAACATGTTCAATCTGCTCGTTTGTAGAAAATGCCAGGGCATCAACTCAGACTCAGTGTATAAAAGTAGCTCATTACAAACAAATACAGTGATTTTCTAGGCAACCTAGGTCCCTGCATTTCCTAGGGGAAATGTCATCGGGGATAATACACATTGTAGGTTGACACCGCTGGTCGTCCCTTCTCTTCATCTGAGTCTTGGAATTTTGACCATCAATAGCCATCACAACGTCACTTCTCACACAGGAGTGCAAGCGCTGAGAAGCCTCCCAGGCGCGCTTTGTAGCTCGCCAAGGCCAAGCGGATGCCCTGAGGATGGGCGTGTGGGGGAGATGAGGCTGTGAAGGGACGAATCCCACTAACATTCATGGAAGGGGTGTTGAGAGTGATGTATTTTTGCACCCCGCTCATCCGCTCACAAAGGACATGTTGTTGTTGCTGGTGTCCCTGCATGCTCTGGAGACAGTCAAGTACGGGTGTGGTTCCAGCCCCCCTTAGAAATCTGTGAGTCGAGATTCTTCCGGTGTAAACTTTTGAAGGAAACCGCTCCTCTGCCACTCAGAACGCCCCTCACTCAGCCAACTCGTCCACTCAGAACGGAACTTTTATTGGACAGGATGGTCCAGGCACTCAACGGGCCGCGGGATTTCTGAACATCGGTGAGATGCATCGGCGCAAATGCAACGCTCTCTCCAAAATGCGCTCAGAGCGGCCGCTCCAATAGGGCTCCCCAAATAGATAGTGACACCATGTGGCACGGGTGGGGATCTACTTTTCTATCTATGCTAGGGGGTCTATGTAATCGTTGTCTGCTTCTGACAGTGGCTCGGTGCTCTACGTCTCAGAGCTTTGGAAGCGGATGCTGGATAAATTGCATCACGCATTTGATCCTCGCAGTCCTTCGACGATGATGCAATGGTCACGTCGTGTGCAGAGTGCATGTTTTACATAAATTATGTTATTTTGTCCTGCTTTGTTTGCAAAGTGTATATGTCTCCAGTCTGCCGTATTTTGTGCAGCGTGAATCTTTGTGGATCTTTTCCATTCTTTTCCGAGTTCTTTCTACATTGTGTCGTCTTCCTCGGTGAACTTCTTTCACAAGGACTGCCCTGGAATTGCGCAGTTCGCAGGACATCTTTGAGTCTTTGATGTTTCTTCCTTGGACGCCTTAGGACGCCTTTGACCTATGTGCCGCCAAGTCTTATATAGGCACCTGGGAATTGTATAAGGGTATATGAGGCGATTCTGCGCGGCGGCACTAGGGCTCTGTGATGTCTGCATACCTTTGCACTTGATGAGTCGACATGTGAGTTGTGGTCGTCGTAGAACACCTGTTAGTGAACCAGCTTGGTTTTTCCCCGTGTTCCTTGGAAGCTCTTGGAAGTATGATAAATGAATGCCTGGCGAACGGATGGAGTCGGTAGAACTTTTCGCATCCTTTCTGGGTGCAAATGACGGGGATGGAAGGCAGGTTACCTGTATGGGCATCGTCTTTCTCTCACGGAGCGATCGGACGCGACGAACGTAGCTCCTGGCGTAGCGACGAACGTAGCAAAAGGCATCACTACGATCGGGTTGCATGTGCCGAGATCCGGCGATCCAAAGTGGAAGAACCGACAACCAGGAGATCGAGGAGCATCCTCCAACTGCTGCGCCTTTGGGATCCAAGACCGGACTGTTGAACCTTTGCAGGCCACTACCATCACACTCTGGAAGGGACCCACATGGAACCTGAAAACCACTGGGTTGTAGAAAAATACAGGTCCCTTTTCAGGTTGCATGTTAATCTTCTCGGGTGTAACTACCAATATGTTTCTCCGTGTTTAACCATTCAACTGTATCGCCTGCGGCCGGACGCGGGCATGCTGAGCCTGTTCCTTGCTGTGCTTCAAGCGATTCTGCCTCCGCTGAGGCGTGGCAAAAATGACGGTTGTCAAACAAAGCACCAGCCGGCCCTCACTCTAGTGATGTTCAAAGGCACTGCTGGCGCAACCCCAAAAAAGTTGGTTCTGAGGTTGGTATATGTTGGTATGGATCGTCATCCAACATGGCTGAACATGCGACTGAAACCAGCAGGGTCAATTTTTGGCCAATTTTGTAAGATCCCAAAGAGCGATTCCGGGACTTCTGCCAGAACGCTCTGCTTTCAGCATGCAATAATTGCATGTCTTGGAGATCCTAGGGCGTGTTCATGCATTTCAACGCCTCCTTGAATGAAGCCACAAACTTTAGGGTTCAAACCAATGTAACATCATGTAACCATCACCTAGTTGTGCAGGAATCTGGCTACCATCGGCCTAGAACCAATCCGGCAACACGGCCGACACGGAAATGTCTGATCCAGCTGGCGTACCAGCTGCCACACGAAGATGTTATCGTCACAAAGAACTGCGTGACTACTCTGGTGAAACACATGCCATGGAAATGGAGCTGAATCCCAACTCTGACCTCTACTTTCACTAATTAATTCAAAAATCAAAGCAAGTGTATAGCTGCACAACCTGAGACCAAATGAGCTCACAAACATCAACATGGTCATTAACCAGAACTCCCTCCCGAACTCCTGAGCCGGGTTGGCACAGAACAAAAGCTACTTGAGAGCACGTGGACAAAACCAACGGGATGCAAACACACCGACTCTTTATGCCCTATCAACTTCAATGACCAGTAAATCACCGGACGATCTTCGCCTCCGCCCAGGTCGAATGCTTCGCTGCTGCGCCTGGCGCACTTCTCCGCTGTGCGGTTGATCCAATCTGGTGGCCGGCGCCTGAACCAAGTGGTGCAGGACTCGGGGCTGCTCGCGGCTGCTCGCGGCGTCGTGTAGGGCTTGGTCCAAGGGAAGAAGCGTAGCCGGTGGAAAGAACATGGATAGATTTCCGTGGGATCGGTGGGATCTGAGTGGATGTGTGTGTGTGGGGGCATCAATACATGCCACAGGCAAGGTGCAGGTGCATGAGTTGCTGTGTGCAAAACGGGTAACCTGCGACGCCAAATCGTCTGACTGGATGCTCCAAAGCCATGCAAAAAAATGGCCTTAGCAAGGCCCAGCACAAGTCGGAGCAAAAGTGGTTGCAGTTGTTCCTGGCGCTCTTGGAATGCGATTGAGAGAGCCACAGTTTCGCGCGATTCAAACACCTCCCCGCGAGAATGTTGTATAACCATCAGTAAATTACAGTATCGCTTAACAGTAGATATCACAAACCGACAAGCCACTTCGATGTGGGATTTCAAACAACAACTTCGAGGGCTTGGTGGCAGAAACTTTCAACTCACTCCTTACATTGACATTGGCCCATTAGCTCCTTCTTGTTCGAGAAGGAGGTGTTCGGTGGAGGCTTTTGGAGGAAGGAGGTGACCACCGGTTCTTTGCCAATACCGAATGCCTGTACAATTAGTCCTCTGATGAAGTCAAGAATGAACACAATGGCTATAAAGTCTACAGTATATTTACACAAATAGGCAACCAGTGTGGATCACGTCGCAATTCTAACCACCCTGGCCAAGGGCCGTCTCCACACCAATGACCACCATGGTCTCCAGGCTTTCCCTTTGCTGTCCAAGACGCTCGAAGAGCTGGTACCGCGGCCCAGTCCTCGGTCGCTTGCGGAATTTCAAACGAATACCACCCAGTTGAGTTGTTGACCCGTGCGTCAACGGGAAAGGATTCACAGAAATCCTAGGTCAAATGGTACCCCGTAATATGGCACTTCACCCCCTCAGTGGCTGAGACCGAAACCACTCGTCAGCTCGGCCCAGTTGGAAAATAACGTCTTGGACCTGACCACATGATGGCCAAGTAGACCCAGCTGCGGAAGTTGAGACAACAACTGGCTGGACCGGGGGGGGTTTGTTGCAGTTTGGTGGATACTAAGCGTACTGCCGTAGCAGTTTGGCTGGGTACCACGGAACTTATGTACGTAACGTATTCTTCTCATCGAATTCCATGACATGGGTCGATCATGTTGGACATGGTTATACAAGAACAACGTAAGACTAAGGGGGCATGGTGGGGACGGGAAAATTCATGAAATCACTGGTGCCATGCATCGGTTATCATCGGTTCATGAAAGCCTCCAAATGTGGCGGGCTCTGGGTACCTCAATCAAGGACATGAAACACACAGAATGGCCTGCAAAGTGTTCACCCTTGTTCACATCTGATCGCATGGAAAGCTACCAGCTGGGAAGGAAGCGTGACAACAAAAAATGGAACTCCCAGAGTTGCAGTGGGATAAAACTTTGTTGTCACCCGGGGTAGTTCTCAAGAATGCCTGCAATGGTCGCAGGCGCATTTCTGTCCATTCCAACGGGAAAAATGAGACGAGATGACTAAAATGACAAAATAACATCCATAGCCAGAAATGATGGACACTGAAGGCCGCTGAGTGTACCAGCAACTTCTCGTCCAAACCACCCAGCCAAAGCCCCCCTGTTGCAACCTGTTGCAGGGATCCTCGTACACGACCCATGACCTCAGCAATGAGGTGAGGCTCGAAGAAGTCAATACGATGGGGAGGAGGAGCCTCGATCATGGAACCTGGAGCGTAGCTGGCCTAGCTTTAGTCAGAACGTGTGAGTCCCACCAAGCTGGAAGTGGCGAATTGTAAAATGGACGGACAATACGGGATTGGATTGGTAAAGAATCACAGCGGCTCGGGGCTCATGTCACCATGTGCATCTCCATTGGAGAATGTGAAACGAGGTGTACATCTCTAGAATGCTCTAGATGTCGATGCCTCGAAAGACTCAATCACTCCTCCATCCCAAGCCCCAGACACTGCAGCCATGCAGAATGGACGCCCACTTACTTCCGGCGTTTGCCAAGGCACGATGCGGTCATAGAACTGATATTCCTCAACCGACGCATTCCATGTCGGATGTGTCACACGGTGGCGAAACTGGGTCACCCCTGTTGGAACCTCATCCTGCCGGACCTTGGGATCGAGACCTTTTTTTTGTTCCACCTCCCTATTTGCCAACAATTTTTTGCAAATGTACATTTTTATACATATAAGACTATATCAGAAATAGCCAAAATATGCCAAAATACATTGCATATATAATCCGAAATGAAAAACAGTATGAATCAGTATGACAATAACTCTATTTCGAGTGATCCCCACCGTGACATTTCCATCATTTGTTTTCATGCCATGCTGAGGAGCACGTGTTTTAGTGTTAGGGAGTTCGCGTTGGGGTGTCGCCGAGGGTCTTCAGTTGGCATCCTGCCACACAAAATGCCACACACAGGTATTTATACTGTCGTACTCGTAGTGGTGTGTTTGTGGTTGTGTTTGAATGTTGTGGCTGTGTGTTGTCGTTTATGTGTTTGTGGTTGTGCGTTTGTGATTGTAACTGTGGCTGTGCTTGTGGTTGTGTGTTGTGGTTGTGTGTTTGTGGTTGTGTGTTTGTGGTTGTGTGTTTGTGCTTGTGTTTGTGTTTGTGGCTGTGTCGTGGTTGTGTGTGCGTGCGATTGCGTTTGTGGTTTGCCTGTTTGTGGTTGTACTTTGTCTTTGTGCATTGCGGTTGTGCTCTATTGGCTGTGTATTGTGTATTGTATGTTTGCGGTTATGTTGTGTGGTTGCGTGTTGTGTGTTTGGGTCCACTAGTGCCCACTGCGGTCTGGCGCTTGCTGTTGGGGTCCGGTATAATGCCCACTGCGATCTGGCACTTGCTGTTGAGGTCCGGTAGTGCCCACTGCGATCTGGCACTTGCTGTTGAGGTCCGGCAGTGCCCACTGCACTCTGCCACTTGCTGCAACTTGCTGGCGGGGAGGAGGAGAAGGAGGAGGAGAGCTCTGATAAAATCTAACAACCCTCACCAGGCAGGTGGGGAAATAGTAATAGGGTTCGACTTCCAGTCTCCTCCAAGTTCCTGCTGATACACAACGAAAGGACACATCACTGCTGCTTCAGCTGTGCTGAGCTTCCCCACTGGGTTCATCTCAGGCGTGCAGTTGTAGACTCCAGACTGTCCAGTCTCATCGTGGCCACCAAAGGACTTAGCACGTGTTTCCATATGCAAGGCATTGCCATGCAAATTGGCCCAGCACCCTTTGGTCTATTTATATCTCCTCCTAGGCAAGCCCCCCCCTAGGCACACACAAACACACACACACACTTGAGAAGGTTGCTCCGTGGAGCGCGATTTCAGGCTGCTTCGCGGT